GAATTCATATACATGTATAAAGTACGTAGCCGTCTACGTAAGAATTCAAAAACATGTCTGCTAATAAAGGTGCACAATTAGTACCCATTGTAATTCCAACAAGGTTAATAAAAGATCTGGTATCCAAAGAATACATAGATACTGTCTATTTAATATCAACCTTGGAATACTTGTGTATATAGAATCAGACTGATTTTTAATAAAGTATGTTATTTAGTTATAACGAATTGCATTTTTTTAACTTTGTCAGAAATGAGCCTATCCAGCTTTCGTATCATTGAGAATTGTTGTTATATCTAGGATGAGACAAGTATTCATTATATTCTAAATAATATAAATGCATAAAAATATTTTTCATAGTTACAATTGTTTTTTAAAGAAATTTAAAAATAATTATTTTCTATAATTAATCATTTATTCTGACATGGTGCAATAGGCAATAATTCTCACTTTTGTTTCTTCTTCTTCCTTTTTATTGGTCATGTAAGGCCATTCTAAGTTTTTTTTCTCTGTTTAGCGTCCACGATTCATTGAAACATCTATTTACCTATTTACAAAAACACACAAATTAAAAATAAAACACTCATGCGCTCTATTGTCATAAAAACGATGTCATTCAGATGAAATGTTTTCATCATTTTAGCTTTCTCAGAGAAATATATACATGTGGGTGAATTAAAAAAAATGACCAAACGCATATTTATCAACCCACACTAAATACTAAAATTGTCAGGAGTGCAACCTTTTTGTGACATTTTAAAATTTCAATATTTTTTTTTTGAGATCTGTGAAATAAATAATAATGCTTTATGTTGAAAATAAAGATTTTGCTGGTAATATTCAAAGTATTGAGCTTTAGAATGTGGACTGTAGTAACTTTTGTTTAATCAAGTTGTGGTCATGGCTGATGTTTAAAAAAATGTTATACCATGTCAGGAGTGCACCAGAAAAAATGTAGTGTTGCAAAAAAAACATCAGTTGTAAAATTCTGAAAGAAAATTAAGACGAAAAAGAATTTTCGAAGTGTAAAACAATAACCGATATACATTTTAAAACTTAAAAATGTTATATAAATCACAAGCAGCATTAATGAGAGTCAAGTATATGTGCATACCCAATAATGTCAGGAGTGCAACATTTGATGTTTTGCTCCCAAGCATGAAAAAAACTATTATCTCTAAACTCTGTTACTGTTTGCTCTGCTCCTATTTTGTAATGTTTAATGGACTTTTGAGCTTGAATACTGTTCGTTATCTCCATTATAATATTTCATTATCATTATATGATTTTCTGATTTTGATTTTGGAAAATAAAGACACAAAAAACATTTTTACCAAATAGAAAAGAAAAATTTACAGGGTCTGGATATCGAATATCTGAAACATAATCCTCCATTGTGTTCATGTTCTTCTTCACCCTATAACTTTAGTCCTGCTGGACACGTTATTACTGGTGACGTAAATATAGTTAATAATGAGGACCTTAGATCATTAATTCTAAAAGGCCCTAAATATAGGGAACCCCGATCCTTCAACTGGCCTCGGAATTTCATAAATATTATGGATTCTGTATAGGATTACGCCAGGCGATGGGCTAGACATGAAAAAGAAACCTTGATACTTTGTCAAAATGGAATAAATGTATCAGATGTATGTTAAAATCGCACATTAAAAGATTGAGGGACAATTTGAGAACCATCTATCCTTCTGTATTCAATAATCCAGAGGTGGAAAAAAGAATTAGATAGATTACATGATCAGTATGTACTGGTCCCTGCTGACAAAGCAGGTAACAACATTGTCTTTGTTTGTAAGGCTCATTATATGAAATGTATTTAAGAGGAACTTGGATTTAATTCTACAAGTGGTAATCCAACTTATACTCATAGTTCTCTTTCTAAGGAAGAAATTCTTCAAAATCATATGTCAATTGGGAATATTTTTAATATTCCAAACAACCAAAATGAATTTGAATTACCATATCTATATTGGATTCCGAAACTTCATAAAAATCCTTACAAACAAAGATACATAGCGGGTTCCAGTAAATGTTCAACCAAGCCTCTTTCTTTACTCCTCACTAAGATATTAACAGTAGTGAAGGAGAAACTTCAAGAGTACTGTGCAACAATATATGTTTTTGCTTCAGATCTATATTTCTATGGTCAGGAGTGCAACACATTTTTTTTTAAAGATTCAAGTTGTGTGACAAAAACACTTCTATTCATGCTTAGAAGTATTCATTAATTAATAATGATCTTTTTGTATAATATAATACTAAATCATTGACAGTTTTATTATTAAAATCCTTCCTTTTTCAATTTTATCAATTCAGATGTGTTTTTATCTTTTGTGATTTTTTTTAATGAATGTTAAAACTAAACACACTAAACAATTGTCATAAAATTCAAGTAATTCCTCCTCAACTTCATTGAAACAACAGAACAAGTTCTTATATAATTTTCACTTCATAACTCTACTTTGAAGGCCCCAATGCTTTTGGTCAGGAGTGCAACAAATATGTTAGAATTATAAATTATCCAATAAGAATAAAATTAAAGAAAAATGATGAGTAGAATTTTTCTGGTGGGTTACTGTGTTTGTCCTCTAAAGGAAAATATGCTATAAAATATATTTTATCTTATAAATATACATTTAAGCTAATTTTTTGGCATAAATAGGGAATAATTCCAGAAAAAACGCGAATTTTAATACTTCAATCTGTTTTAATTATGAAGTATTGGACTATAAGCATTGCACAATTTCATTACCACTTGATGTTTCCAACACTTTATTAATTTTTTGTGTTCTATGGTTTCAATTTTAAATTTTACTGCAGTCAGGAGTGCAACAAAACTGCTATATAATTACCAAAGCTTTTTAACTATCTTCACTAAAACATAAGTTGAAAAAAAATGTTTGATACTATTTGATGTTCAAAACACTATGTCTATTAACAAATTACAGAAATTTTACAGTCAATTCAGGGAATAGTTTTCATCATTTCACATATATTTTTAAATACAATTTATATATATTACACTTTGCAAATAATCATGTTTTAAGGTCTTCAAATTATGAAAAACCTGTCGTAAATGATGAAAAATATCAAAACGACAAATTGATTTACAAAGTAAGAATGGGTTATTGTGTTATTATTTTTAAAACAATGTTAAATAAAATACATATCAGATGTCAGGAGTGTAACACAATAATGTAACATACGTTCACTTCAAAATCTAGTATTTTTTATAAGAGAACTCGTATATAAATATTCTTTTTTGGCTTAGATTTAAAGAATTGACTTGGACGGACAAAAAAAATGAATTTTGGGGAATTTTATTGCTTAATATTTTTATCATATTAAAACTTTTTCAAACCAGAATTGAAAAAATAATGTAAAATAACAATCAAATAGCCAATTTTTCGTTATGTATACAAGAGAAGATACTCAATCAAGGTCTAGATTTAATCATTTATACCCCTTTTACCATTTTGAAGCATAAAAACTATAATTTCTTATGATTATGTATTTTAAAAAGTCTTTTAAGATGTAATGATATTTTCTTATTTCAAAAGAAATTTTACTAATAAAAATTCTGAAACTTTTTAATCCAATTGTCTATTCTATTAACACTTCAGGATTTTAAACTAGAATGCATGTGCAATATGATGATATAAGTGAAAAATATGTTATAAGTAGTTGAATTTTTCCAAAAAATATCAGTTTGGTGGTCTTTTTTTTATTCACCCCTATGTACTCCTATGTAAAACTTTGATCATGTATTATCGCCCCATCCTATCCCCCAGGGTCATTATTTGAAGAAACTTGAATCTACACTACCTGTGGATGCTTCCATTTAATAAGACTGATCATAAATTTCCATTTTAGAGCAGATTTTTTTCCCCAAGTATAACTTTGATTGCCCATTGTGGCCCCCGCCCTACCCCTGGGAGGCATGATTTAAAACTTGAATCTACACTACCTGAGGATGATTCCATATAGATATGACCAATCATAGCTTTGTTCTTGAGATTTTTCCTATGTAAAACTTTGATCACCCATTGTGGTCTCACCCTACTACTGGAGGTCATGATATGAACCACTTGAATCCACACTATGTGATGAAGCTTTAAAATAAGTTTCATCTTTTTCTGACCCAGTGATTCTTTTTTTAAAAGATGCCACTAAATTTTCACAAATTCTTGATTATCTCCCCTTAAAAGAGGGTGTGGCCCTTCACTGAAAACATCTTCATCCAACGATGCTTTGTGCTAAGTTTGATTTAAATTGGCTGAGTGATTCTTGATAAGAAGTCATGTTTAAAAACTTAACTGACTACAGACGGATGCCTGACACCAATTAGAAAAGCTCACTTGAACCTTTGACTTGGTTCAGTTGTTCCAGCAAAGAAGCTGAAAATGTTCACAAGTTACAGCTGACAGATGATGGACAACGAAATAATATAGGTCATTTCAAGTCATTCAGCTGACCTAAAAATAGAAACATCTTTCTATCAATAAATATATACATCTAGGGAAATCATGTATATAATAATAAATTATAGATGCATATAACAACCAGTATTTTAAAAATCTTCATTACACAGTAACATATGCTAAACTGTTTTCATTCTAACAAAATCAACCATGATTCTTTTACCTAAATTTCTGTCTCTTCCATTAAAATTTCTATAATCCTTAAGGCTGTAAATGCTGTATATTTTATTATATAAATCTATCAATAGCTTGGACTTTCAGAAGGCAGTGATGTGCCTATATTTACATCACATCAAATCTCCAAATGGTGACATGGTGTATATATTGCATACCAGAACAAGCATTCACAGAGGAAAATCAGGTAATTTCAACCAATTTAGACAGAGCAAATGTTTTCCATGATCAAAAGGTTGAGCTTGTGTCATCTTGCTGTTTGTCATCAACACCAGAAAGTCCCATTATTGGTAGTAATGTTTTTTCAAAGATAACAAGAAGCAAATGTGTTGTCTTTTTTTTTATGCTATTACAAAATGATGCAGATTCATGTGTTAATGCAAACAATTCTGTATTTAAACCTTTTTGTAAATAATGGCAAATCCAGCATAGATACTTCCATCAAACTGACTGTAAAATATTCATCAATAAACACAGCATCATATCACAAAAATATACAAGAACCAAACAAACAAGTGCTTCATGATGTTCATTTTAAAATACTCGAGGTAAAAATTAAAATTAAAAAAAATATACAAAAGTATAATCTTTCGTTTGAGAAACCACTAAAATTGAACTGCTTTCAATAGTTCTTGATAAAATAAGAGATCACATTCCTATGTTTAACAATGAAACTGCAAGAGGCACTTGCAAATTTAATATTTATATATAAATATATAAAGATAAATTGATGATGAATTTCTTACTGAATTCATTCAGTAATTTTCTGAGTTTAATTTCTGTGAAAAATAAAATTTTGCATAGTTTAAAAAATAAGAATTCTCAAATGTTTTAAAACACAACCTAATGAACACACATGTGAATTTTTTTCTTAAGTCCTTAAATCTTACATATAATGTACATGTATGTAATAAATTAATTTCTTTTTTCTTAAAATTATCAGTTGATATACGTATTATAGCACCATTAAGACAATCTTCAAAGTTAAAAAAAATCACAACCAAAGTGGAGTATTCAATCATGAACACACATTTTTTCCCAACAACAACTTGACATATGCAACTGATATTAAATTCTAACATTAATCCTACCAATAATTGGCCTCCATCCTAGATTCTAATTTCTACCATACAGGAACAGTCTAGTTTAAAAGTTTACTTGATATGTAAAGTGTAAATATTATTTTCCCTACAGAACAGCAAAAATTTAAAATTACTTTTCTAAAATTTTTGGAAAAGGTATAATGTTAAGCTTAAATCATATCAAGTAGGTATGCATTTGTATGATAAGATGGTTATGAACGAAACAATGACCTTTAATATATATTAAAAAATGGCTAAAATATAAAAATTATAAACAGCAACAAAAGTTCAAAAGGCAAAAAATAAAGAGACTGGATATGACATACAACTTGAGATTACGGGCTCTGTCACTGTTGACAAGGGCAGATAACTGTTTCCTGGTGACTAGATTTACCAGTTTTCTGATCTCTGCATCATTCGATTTATTTTACGTGGTGTTGACACTTGGTTGGTCTCCCCTTTCATAATGGAAAACATCTCTGATGACTGATTTTTCTGATAGGAAAATCTACCTTCAGGACGCATGCGCGGTGGTGAAGTCCTGGGTCGCCTGAAATCAAACATTCATCTTCATGTATTGCTAAACTTAAACAGGATTTTATTTTTTTTGGTATTGGTTACACTTGATTGGTGTGAACTTTGACTTCAACAACTTGCATCCACACCATATAAAGAAGCTTCAGATTTTTTTCTCATTTTGTTTTTCACCAATGAGAGCTTGGAATTTTTAACCATTTTTTTCTTCCCCTTGTTGCCATTTGTCTCGATCAACATTTTCAACCAAGGATGCTTTGCATTAAATCTGGTTAAAATGGTCTCAAGACTCTGGAGAAAATGAAAATGTCAAAACACTAACTAAAACCTTGGATCAGAAAAGCTCACTTGTGCCACTACTTCTGATGAAATTTATAGGTTTGGCTCATCAATAATACAAATTAAAGGGTCTCTGATTCCATATAATACAGACTTATGGTGTCTCCAACTCCAGCAGTCATGGGGGAACTGATTACTCTATAGAATACAAACTTATGTGTCTCTGATTTCTGCAGTTGTGGGGGAACTAATTACTCTATAGAATACAGACTTATGATGTCTCTGACTCCTGCAGTTGTGGGGGAACTTACAACTCTCTATAATTCAGAAACTAATAGTGATTCTGACTCCTGCAGTTTTGGGGGAACTAACAACTCTCTCTAATTCAGAAACTAATAGTGATTCTGACTCCTTCAGTTGTGGGGGAACTACAGTAACAACTCTCTATAATTCAGAAACTAAAAGTGACTCTGACTCCTGCAGTTGTGGGGGTACTAATAACTGTAAAATTCACACTTAGAGTGTCATTGTCTTTGATTCATGCAGACTTACAGTGTAATGCTAATTTAGACTTACGGTGTTTCTGACTCCTGCAGTTGTGGGGGTACCTTAGGGGTGCGGACAGACGGTGGGGGTGCCTCCATGTCCATGACTTGGAGATTTTTAACATGCTGTTCATGATATTTATCTGCTACTCGATCACCTTCTGGTCTTGACCTTACAACAGGTGGAGTCTCATCCCATCTATATTAAAAAAAAATTAATCTCTCTTCTAACATACATCCACAAAACCTGCCTGCACTAGCATATGACATGAGTGATATTATGACTGCAATTTGCTGTATTTTCATATAGTAGAACCTTGATATCTCAAACTGACTGGACTTTTTTTTTTTAATATATATAGGCCTATTCAAATTGAAACTAGAATTCACATTAGAGTCAGGACAGGATTCACTTTGACGTATCCTTGGTAACTGACAATCAAGAGTTTGAGATACCAAAATTCAGCTGTATAACAGAGTACAAATCATCAACATGTGTCACAGTCAATATCCTTTACATCAATTAGCAGATAAATAAAATTTAGACCAAACAATCACTGTATGTGCAGCTTTAAAGTCTATCCAAGTTTTCCTATTCATTTTATCACATATATTTAATATTTTTTCAGTCCTTCAATTATGTCATGAAGGTAAATATTAAATTTCAATGCTGATATTTAAATATCCTGGAGCAGGTAATTTGATTTCTATTGAACATTTCACTCAGTAACTACTGGCCATTAAAAATCTGCCATAATTACCCTGGTCCCTGGGACTCCTGGTGGAGTTTGCTGATCTTGGGTTCATGTTCAGGTAGGCGTCCCTCCATCCTAAGCATTGGTCCCATATCCTTCCCTTGGTATTTCTCCTGCACCTCCTCCCCTCCAAAGTAAACCTTGGGGGCAGGCTGCTCAGGTAACGGGACATCAGCGTAATTGTTCATCAGCTTACTTACAGTCCCTTTGTTTCTCTCTGCATATTCCTCTGCATCCATCCCTTTAACTTTTGGCCCTTGTCTCCCATCATCAACGCGGAGATTACCGTAATTCACCATCAAATCTTTCATGGCTCCCCCTTTCCCTTTGTCTGCCATTTCTGCAGCTTCTGCCTTAACAGTTCTTGGATGTACAGCTTTCTTCACGGGAGGATCAGCATATCCCCCCATACACTCACCCATCACCCCCTTATTGACCTCAGCCACCCTTTTAGCTTCCTCTGTCCTCAGTCTCTCCCCTGGGCGAGGAGATTCATATTTTTGATTCTGGCTATAATCAAACCATTTTTCCATGGCCCCTCGATTCCTGTTGGCATACTCCTCAGCCTCTGGTTTTACGCGGTGGTGGACCTCAAAATCTGGAGTGTTACTGCTCTTTCCAGACATCAGGTCTCCAAGGGACCCTTTATTGTGTTGAGCATTCCTCCGAGCCTCAGCGGACATGATCCTCTCTCTTGGAAGTGGAGAATGATAATCTTGTCCATTATCATGACTGAACCAGTTCCCAGCATCCTTCTGTCTGTTAGCATTCTCAGCAGCCTCAGGTCTAACCCGGGGGTGAGGCTTGGGTGTAGGGCTTGGTGTGTATACCCCGTTATGAGTCGACATTTTGTTTCCTCTTCACTCACTCTCACATTGGTCTGTGTTGAGGTCTATAAATAAAATAAATACATTGATTTCAGAGAAAATACATCTCAGTATCAAAAACCTGAAAATCAGGAATAAGTGCTACAAAGTACTTTTCTTCAAATTTGCACAGTAGAAGAAAAACTCTGATTTTATACATGCACCAGTAACAAGCTTAAACCCAACAGTTAACAAAATTTACATAAACATATTTACATGTAGGCATGATAGTTACATGGGAATTCAAAGAAACAAACATTACCAGCTAGATTCAATGTCATATGATTGTACATGTATTCCCCCAACACGTGTACTACTGTCTCACAGAGTAACCACTTATGTTTTTGGAACCCTGCACTGCCTTTATCAAGGCCACCTGACCTGTATAAATCTACTACATGTCATTATCTCACACTTTATACTAACATTACACAACATATCTCTATCAAGCTACCTCTTAACTTTTGGCATTTAATTTTTATTCCTTCACAATTACACGGCAAACTGCTTTCCCATTGGAACAATTCTCTTATTACATATATATAAAGTGTATTTTAATGGTAAACAGTTTTTCACAAGTATACTGTAATAACCAATTGAGTTTATCCTCAGAATGACATCCTGATGTTTTATTCTTGTAAGATGTGGGGGTGTCACTAGATTTTAGTCAATATAAAGGTCCTGAAATGCACCGAGACAATACCTGGTCCTCAGGGGGTTAAAACACCAATGTCTGATCAGCTGTGGACGTGACAATACATCACCCCAGGGGAGATAACAGAAGTACAGAGATTGTCTGAAGGAGATCAGACAATGAGTGACCAATATCTATTTTATGAAGTATTGAAGTACGGAGGATTTATACAGTTACATATAATGTATCCATACCTTATTTAACAATAAACATTATGTACAATTGATATCCACACAGAAGTGTGCAAGATTTTTTTTTTATAGAAATTACATGGAAATGGGGGTATGAAACTGTTATGTCAAGCACATCTAGTGCATGTATAATCAACATGTATTTTCTGCACAAAATTACTTAACATTTAGTTCAATTATAAACTTGAATAATTTGTATGAAGTCTGAATGAAAATATTTGTAGTGCCTGTATCTACGACAAGATTCGTAGTTCAGTTGTGTTTTAGCATAATTTTGAATCAATCAAGCAGACATAATTCCTATCCTGAACATGATTGTGAATCATCTTTTTTGGTGTTTATGCCTTGTGGACAGCATTGTACAGTGATATCATAGCTATAATACCTCAGAGTTTATCACCTGTCTGACTGTACACACCTTTGTTAAGATCTTCTCTTGTCTAATACAACAGAAAAAGGAATGTGTGTAAATACAGCACTCCATTAATCTTTATCTTGAAAACTAACTGTCATTCCTGACATAGACTTTGAAATTTAATTAAAGCATTCCTTCCATATATATATATATATATATATATATATATATATATATATATATATATATATATATATATATATATATATATATATAGCAGCTACATGTACATGGAATATTTTACCTCAGACAAGTTAAATAACAAACATAGACCCACTGACACCTCTTCTACAAAAAGATTTATATACATGTAGTACATGTATATATCTGTTGATGTAATTATACAAATCACACCATGCATCTCCTATAGTGATCATTATAGGATCAAAATCACAATGAACATGACAAACTTCACCTTCTCTGATATAAGTCTCAGGGCAGACTTAGTTCCAATTAAAGCATTTTCTAAAAATCATAGCATTTGTCAATGAACAGAATTGAAAATAAAAGTACACTTACAAATCTAATGAAATATCCCTTTTTAGACTATTGGTACTTGCATCTAATTTACATGAGACAAACACATTTAAAATCAGGCATTATCAGACCACAGACCCTCGCTCTACTTTAGGTTTTTATTATAACATCATTTTCACTCAACCATGAAGTCACTTAAGCTGTTATAGACTTTTACCTATCTATATCATGTACACCTTGACAAAAGGACAATTACATGAATGGAAAATTTAAATGACATCAACACCAACCTTAGCCTTCACAATACATGAATAATAAATCCATTTTTAGAAAGATGTGAAATTTAATACCTTTAGAATCTATACAAAATAATTTTAAAAGTGTAACAGATATGATACATGTTTCACTCAATGTAAAATACACTGTGATTTTTATCTTCTAGAGCATACATAATTAATCTAACCTATCTATTGATTACACATTTTACATGTATTTACTTACATTTAAGAGCGTTGATACTTAATCATACAACAGCTAACACAGAATCAACTTTAATCTTGTTCAGTAGAAAACAAATCAATTCGCATGTCGACACAAAACTAATTGATTCAATTTAAATTCCGATTAAAACTAAACAAAGAAACTGTTGCAACAGTCTAGTGTACACAAAGTGCACTCATGCCCATCAACCAAAATATGTAAAAGACTGAAACAAATGTGTCACAGACTAACAGTCTTACAGTCATTTCTTTTAGCACTCTAAAATTCAAACCAGGTCATAGCCACACAGATAAGTGACTTTCAATATAACTTACAAGTTTTAACAGATTGTGGTGGGGGAAGGGTGGATTAAGAGTATTTTATCTTCTCCTGAAACAAGAACTGTTTAAATACATGCATACTGTTCTATATGTATATCTTTTTTTTTTCCTTTCCTGAACAAATGTTTGACTGATTAATAAAACAAGAGGCCCATTGGCCATAATGCTATCCTGAGTCAATATGGCCCTGCTGTTCATCATCTGATTCAGCAGATTTTTTTTCAATTATGTATTCCTATGTAAAACTTTGATCCCCCATGCTTGCCCCATCCTACTACAGGGGTCAAGATTTGAACAAACTTGGATCTATATTACCTGATGCTTCCATAACAATATGGCCAACCATTGCTTTGCTGTTAATGAGATGAGGATTTTTAAAGATTTATTCCTATATATATTCCTATGCAAAACTTTGATCACCCATTGTACTGGCCCAACCCTGTCCCCTAGGGTTATGATTTGAACAAACTTGAATCTTCACTACCTGATGATGCTTCCATATCAATATGACAAAACATGGCTTTGCTTTTTTGAGAAGAAGGGTTTTTAAAAATATATATATATTCCTGACAGTGTAAACCATTGATCCCAAATTGTGGCCCCACCCAATTTCTGGGGGTCATTATTTGAACAAATTTGAATCTACACTACCTAAGGATGCTTCCATATCAATATGACTAAACATGGCATTGCTGTTCTTGAGAAGAAGGTTTTTTTTTAAAATAATTATATATATATATATTCCTATATTAAACTCTGATTGACCAATGTGCCCCCCTTTTTGTTGTAGTATAATCAAATCAGGGTAATATGGTAAAAGTATGAATAAAAATAAATTTGGTTACCTACCTCAACCCTGAAATAGGATTTTTGACTTTTGGAAATCAATTTTTTTTTCCTTTGCTTGTCAAAGAAGATTTTCAGGTAAATTGTGCTTGAAAAATCTGGGTCGATCAATTCACCTTATTTAAGTATAATAGTCTGTACTTTTGGAGAAGTTGTACATATGTATACATCTATTGCTTTAATGTAGAATGTCTGTTGATAGCTTGTAAAGTTAAGATCAAAGAGTTAAATACTGATTTGCTTATAACAGAATTTAATGAAGGTACCATAAAATGGTTACAACCTGATTCCACTACAACAAAAAGGGGGGCACATTGGTCAATCAGAGTTTAATATAGGAATATATATATATTAAAAAAAAAAAACCTTGATGAAGATCTGGAAGAGCCATTTTGCAATTGAGAATTGATTTTGCAATGAAAAATAGAATACATATTTCTGAATATAAAAAAACTGCATGTATGCACCCCAAAATGCCAGCTTTTTAATTTGGGTTGTCTTGACCAATGTACAGCTATTAAGTGAGGCACTAACTTTGACTCATGCAGATAATTTGTGAAATCATGTCAATGCATTTAGCTCTCCTGGAGTGGAGTATGGAGGAAAACAAGGAGAGATGACCTGGGGGATTCAAGGGGAAACAAAGGAAAATTACTCGGAGGAATGTGTTTAAGTTATTGTATTTGTACTAACCAGATCAACCTATATTACCCCATGACTTGGTAAACCATGCATACAAATCCCAGAGAAGGAACGTTAATGAAGAACTAAAAATGTTTCTGTGTTACTGTTTCCATATGCTTCTCATCACACAGACATCATCATGTTGAGTCTGCATTTTGAAAGCTATAAACCTCTTCAGAAGGATTAGACTCTACTGGTATGATATTAAGAGACACCAATATATTCCAGCATAACAAATTAAAAAAGTGTGTAAACATATAAAGCAAGAGTAAAATGTGGAGAATTCAGGTTGTGGCTTAGATAACAAAGGATGTTGAATGATAAAGTATATTTGCTAAAAAAAATATGAATAATATATCTGTTCATTAACGATGACTGAAGTGATTCCTTGTAATAAAATGATTGTTTTAATAAAGCTCCTTCTCCATGCATGGTTTTGTTTGTGTGCATAGTACATTGTGATACTACCAGTAAAGCCTAGTGAAAAAGTTTGTTTCTGCTTTCAGGCTGAAAAAAAAAATTAGGAAGAAAGATAGGCAGTTTTTCTTTAATTCTTTCACTTCTTTAAATCAAAACATCTAAGTAACATTGCTGAGTGATGACAAAAGAAATAGCATTTCTGTTACTTAAATCTTTAGTAGAAATTGTTATTCATTGGACAAAAAAGGAAAATTCAGATCTTCTCTGAAAAAGCATTAAAAAAAAATAAGGTCAGCACTTTTAAATTAGGGCTGGTCAGGAAAGCAAAAACATACATATTTTTTTGGTAGGCCTATATAAGTGGAGAAGTACAGGAAGTTTATTGTAGTGAATCTGTCTCAATTAGAAACATGAAATAAAATGTATTATTCACAAAGTTCTTCATTATGATGAATGATATATGTACACTGACAAATGATATTCATTAATTAGTGCATTAATGAAGCAATATACAATCCCAAGGAGTACTGTGTACTAATTTATGCTAATTTTTGCCTGATTTTGACAGTACAATCACATTCACAACAACGGATTTTTAAAATTATGTCATCGTTTATCATTGTAAATTTCTAATTTGTGCTTATAAAAATTCTGAAGACAATTGGATGTAGGCATGGACTAATCCAAGCTTTATTTGATACTCCAATTGGTTGTTCATTTGTTTTTTCTCTCTCGTTTTTTTTTTCTTTTTTTTTTTTTTTGGCGAAAACTCTAACAAAGTTTCCTCATCTCATTTCCCCCTGATACTGAATGAAAAATTCACCTATGCCCTTTAAAAAAAAAAAGGGGGATCAAACTGTAGTAGTTTTGTGTTCTTTCATTAATCATTATGCAATATAGAATCCAATAGAAGCCTTATTTCCAATTTTTTTGGCTGAATTCCATTACCGAAAAAATGTAAACTGGTTGGTTACCACTGTCAAATATTTTTTTTCATTCCTGAAAGAATATAAGTTATCATTACCAAAAATTCAAAATAAGATTGGCCTACAAGTGTGGCACAAAAAATTTCACGTTTGAATCCAGAAATACAGTGACTGTATCTTGAGCCATTTGTCATGCCAGCATTTCTTTTTCACTTTGGGTTAATGGGAAAGGTTAATCAGGGATTTATCAGTACCCTCTCTGGGACCGAAATTCGGCCCCATTTCCAATTGAAAATGAGTTCAGTTTTTCCCATTTTGGCAGTACTTTTTCCCAATTGGTGAACAATGCTTTTATATTTAATCATCTTGGAAAAAACACAAAGTAAAATTGTCGGATTGTCTGTAATTTTCATCTATTTAACTCATTTAGGAAAGCTAGTCATGACACGTTTAAAAACACTGTAAATTACAGGGCTCTCACACCAGTTTTTGGGACTGGGGCCGGGGCTTTGAAAATTGGGAAAATTAGCGACCTTTTGAGGAAATTTGGGAAAATCATAACTAGACAATATCCATTAAATTCATTATATATTGAGTTTCTGGTGGTTGTTATCAACTAAATTTCTGTTTTGTAATACAGAGAAATATGAATAACAAGTTTAGGAACTACATATTTTACTAAATGTTCTTTAATATTTGGGGAAGTGACCAATTGGGAAAATTAAAACATTAAATTGGGAAAAAAGATACCTTTTTTGAATTGGGAATGGGGCCTTTAAACGGCCCCAATTATAGAGAATCGAGAGCACTGTAAAAACATCGCCAACTTTTAATCCGAATTTCCTCCGTTTTTCTGAAAATGGTGATATTGTGTAATTATATATATTTATTAAGTTATTTCCACCTCCTCAATTGATCTACAAGTGAATGGTAAAGACTGAAGGTACTATCTCAGATAGAAAAATATATCTTCAATGCATGCACTTATACATATTAAAAGAGGACTTTGAGAAAATGTGTACTTAGTATAATTTTTTGCAGGAGGTTTATAATCTCCAGAAACAGATTCTATAATGACCTAAATTGGAATCTCATACACACATGTTCTACCCTAAGTTGTATAAATACTTTATACTCATTGAAGTAAATTTTACTTTTATTAGTCTATTATTCATAATTGATCTTGTATGATGAAGTTGGATCATATTTAATTGTCTGATTGCCCAAATTAGAGTTCATGCTGAAATCTTAAATTAATTACACCTTACATATGCATGATTTAAGCAACATTTTTAATTTTTCCCAATTTCATCAAATAGCCGATAATTTTTTCCCAATCCCCCAAACATGGCGTTTCCCAAAATAGGCTGATAAATCCCTGTTAATTAACTAATTAAAAGATAAATAAATTTCAGAAATCCTATACTTTGTTCAGAAATTAAG